GTTGCCCCTTTTCGAAATCCTATTGATTTTCTGAATCCACATTACCATTTCTCTACCAGCTGCCATTCACAATTTGATACACCACAGACTACAGATCCATATTTTATTTTATTCTATTTATTTGATTTTTTAAAAGATTTTTTATTTTTATTCACTTGAGAGAGAAAGAGAGAGAAAGCGCATGAGTAGGAGCACGAGAGCAGAGGGAGAGGGAGAAGCAGACTCCCCATTGAGCAGAGAACCTGATGCAGGACCCTTGGATCATGAGCTGAGCCAAAGGCAGATGCCTAATCAACTGAGCCACCCAGGAGCCCCTAAAGAACCATATTTTAGAGGAATACCCATCTAACACCATAAAGTGATCCTAAATTCACTCCCAGAACTTGTCAGTGTGTTACACTTCTAAGCAGATAGCCCAGATTTTCTATTGAAGAGTTCAGTCATTCTCTATTCCTGATAATTAGGAAACTTTCAATATGTTCCTGCCAAACTATCTACTGTAAGCAAACCTCTGAGATTATCCTCTTGTCTTTCTGGGCCAGCCCAGGCAGCAAAGGAGAATATATTAAGGTACTGGGCGTTTGAGGCCACCCTAGTTCCTCTCCTCTCCTGCCTATCTTGCCTCACAGTGTCTTTCCTATTTCTACACTCCAGGAATACCATCTATCTAGCAGGCCTCAGTCATATACTATTGTAGTTGTGCTTCATTTCTGTTACCACTTCCATTTTTCCCACCTCTCATATTTGTGGGAAATGGTCTGCGTCTTCTCCCTGTGCTGATTCTCTCATGAAGGTCACTTCTGGTTGCAGTCTCTGCACTGTGCCATGGTTAGTCCTATTACCAACCAAAGGGGTTTGAAATCCTCCTTGCTCATTACCTCAACCTTCTCTCAAGGCAGGTATTCCTTTCCCTCGGGTAAATCCTACTCCTAATTAAAGAAATCCATCTGGACCACTGGAAATACCAAACTACTCAAATACTGTTGATGGGCTCAGTACTTGCAAAATTAATGAGTTTTCTATACCACCACAGGAGCCATTTATTAATGAAACATAGCTATCTTATCTGGTCCCAAATGGCCAAGCCTTTAAGAAGTATGATCTTCCAGGGATGTCTGAGTTGCTCAGTCAGTTAAGCAACAGACTCTTGATTTCAGCTCAGAAAAATTCCCTTGCCCTCAAAGAGTCTGTACACTCTTTGAGGGCAAGGGAATTTTTCTGCTAGTGGTGATCTGGTCAGGGGTGAGGTATGTGGTGGGAAGATAGTGGGATTGTCATGGTGCCTTGGGTGATAAGCAAGGCTGAGAAATCAGAAGACACAGAAAACAGGAAAGTGTGTTTGCCAAAAATTACAAATTCCAACTCACTGAAGTATGGCTAATAAAGTTCTAAAAAAAAATGCAGAGTGGAGCAAATGAAAAACTATGTAAGGTGAGTAAATGTTTGTAAGTCAGGACTACAAAAAAGGATGTGATTCAAAAGTTAAAGATGCTAGAGACTAGATTAGACCTTTGTCTAGCCATATGAAGAATGAATCACTGATAGCAATGACTAATCACTATATGCATGTAAAATATAGATGGAACAAAATCCAGCAGCAATTTTCTTCAGTACTGGGATACAGGGGTGCTAATCCCTACCATTTACAGAACACCTAGTAGGTGACAGGAGCTGTCCTTTATATGGATTGTTACATTTAGTCCGGATAACACTCCAACTAAGTAGGTTTTATTAACTCCATTTTATGTCAGGAAATGGGCTCAGGAAAGTTCCACGGCAGGAATTAGTTTACACTCCTACTGGACAGTAAAGCCAAAATCTAATACCAGCTTTTCCCATCTTGAGACCATGCTCTTTCCCCCATGCCAACATAGCCTGATTTATATTTTAAGAGAAATGAAGTCCATTCAAAGATACCTTTAGGGGCGCCTGGGTGGCTCAGTGGGTTAAGCCACTGCCTTCGGCTCAGGTCATGGTCCCAGGGTCCTGGGATCGAGCCCCGCATCGGGTTCTCTGCTCAGCAGGGAGCCGCTTCCTCCTCTCTCTCTGCCTGTCTCTCTGCCTACTTGTGATCTCTGTCTGTCAGATAAATAAATAAAATCTTAAAAAAAAAAAAAGATACCTTTATAGTCATGTCACCCTCATTGGTTGCAAATATGCTTTCATCAGTGATCTCGGGCTGGAGATACAGCCAGCACTCCAGGGACTGAGTATAAAACCTTGCGAGTGTAATGGAGCCTATGAGACCGTCACTGTCATGTGGATGAGAACAGCTGATGAAAAAAAGTGAAATGTCCATTAGGTTAAGTTCTTAATCTGTCATTTAATGGAAATCAGTGGCAAGAAGAGGGGTTTAGGAAATCGATGGCCCTGATTCCAGATGTGAATTCTGCTATATACTAGTTCCATGGAAAACCTTGGACAGGTGATTCTACTTCTTTAATCTCAGCTTCTTCACAGAGTCATTACAGCAAGCTAACAATACATTTTTGTAGAAAAAAAGATAGGCAGCTTTGGATAACAAAAAAAAATACATCAATAAGGCTAAAGAGGCTTGGCCTCATTCAGGCATTAAGCTAGCTATCTTGTCTTGGGCAAGTCACAAACTCTGACCCTCTTTCTTCTGTAAAAAGTTGATGGCACCATCTACTTTAAGGATTTGTTTTATGGGGGCGCCTGGGTGGCTCAGTGGGTTAAAGCCTCTGCCTTTGGCTCAGGTCATGACCTCAGGGTCCTGGGATGGAGCCTCGCATATTCTGCTCAGCGGGGAGCCTGTTTCCCTCTCACTCTCTGCCTAGTTGTGATCTCGCTGTCAAATAAATAAATAAAATCTTAAAAAAAAAAAAAAGAATTTGTTTTATGAATCTAAGTGTAATGTAGGTTAGGTACCTACAGTGCTCGGCTATATAATAACAATGTACCCACCATATTAAATCATTAACACAATGCTTGGCAAAATTTGTATAACTTTCCACCCCATTTGTTTTACACTTGGGCTCTATTACAATGTTCCTGGTGACTATAACTTAAAAATACAACAGACTATTGGAAAATCGTAACAGCAATTTGGTAAAAATTAGACACCTTAGGCATTTAAAAAATTGCTAACCTTGTATTGTTTTTAAAAGTTAAAATTTACATAAATGGAAAATTATTCATTCTTTTATACTCCCTCATATTTTTTTCCACTAAAAGCATTTTCTTCTAAAAGCATTCCATTAAACAAAGTGCTTAGTCAATCCGAGAAATAAAAGATTAGTACCATTAACAAAGACTTTGATAATTTTATTACTAAGAAAATTGTTAAACATGCTTGCTGTCTCTGATAGCACTGTTGAAGTGGTAGGAACCATCTGTGGACAATCCATTATGTGAACCATGAAAAGTAGCCATCCTTGCAAAGCTGGTCCCCAACTGCCCCTCAAAAGCAAACAAACAAACTGATCTCAACAGTGTATTTAAATTAATCACTCCAACGTAAAGTAAGTCAGGGTTACACCCCTGGTCTTTCCTAATTAAGCAATTCAGAAGAAATACAAATATCATAGATTAGAGCTGTATACACCTAATGGGTTATCTATATCCACATGCCCAACACACGGTTTATGAATCTGAGCAAATTTGGGGAAGTTAAATCTACATTTTGGGTTTACACAAATCGTTAAAAAATTTAAAAACGTACACACGTATAAAGTTCCTTGGTTCTAGCGATTTTGCAGTGTTGGCCCAAGCAAGGGGGTTACCATCACTTTGCCTCCTTTCCCATCTAGATGGCATCTTATTGACTAGTCCATGAAGAAGCCTCACAGATGCCTTAGGAAAGCACTCCATACCTGTCCGTAAATGTGCCCGTGGGTCGAACCTCCATTTCTTACATTATAAGAAGTATGTGAATAAAATAAGACTGCCATTTTTTTTATCTATTCCTCCCCCATAAAGCTACAATAAATAGGGCCACTCAACCCTCCCTTTGCCCAACGCCAGCACTCCCACAAATATGACTGGTTCTTATTTTTTACTTTAAGGAGGATGGGGACTTGCAAGTGTTTACCTAACGGGTTTGCTGAGTTTCAAATGTTTAAAAAGAATTTGAAACCAAGTGAAGTTTGATCTTCACACTCTGAAATACCCGTCCTGGGATGTGGGCTAGGTGTCTGTGGTTATTCAGAGCTAGGTACCGTGCGAGCTTTTGAAGGAACTGTAATCTGATGTACACCGGCAGGCGTGGGGTGGGGGAGGGAAGAACTGGCTGGGGAGAAAAGAATAGAATTAGCGTCTACAGGAGCACATCCCAAGGTTCCGGAGTTGCTAACTCCATCCCTAGGCATCTCGCTGCTTGGAACCAGCTGGAAAGGGAAAGACCGGCGACTCTGGGTTTGGGTTGAAGGTGGCAGTCCTGGTCTCAACCGCCGGCCTAGACACCTGGCTTCTGGGGCTCTCCCGACCCGGCTAAACCCTCTCTCCCCTCCGGTCCTGCAAAGGGGCAGGCACGGCGCTCCGGTTCCCGTCGGAGACCATCAAATTCCTCTCCCCCCGAAAGTGCTAACTTCAGGGACTCGGGGGTACAAAGGGAGAGCAGACCAGGAGGGACAGGCCGTGGGGTCTCACCGGGTTATCAGGTAGGGAAGAAGGACGAGCGCCCCGGCGGTGGCCACCTTTTCTCCTCGTCCTCCACCCCCCAATCCCTCCCACCCCCCACCAAGTCCGCAGAACCTGCGGCTGCCGCGCGGTGCTCCGCGCCAGGCTGGGGTCCCCGGCCCCGACGCTGGGGCTGGCTTGGGATGGGTGGGGTAGGGGCTGGCGGGTCCCAAAGCCCCAATAGCGCGTGGCTGCAAGGACCAAACACTGGGCAGGCGACCACCTTCCGCCCGCCCGAGAGCGGGAGCAGGCAGGGCGCGAGCGAGGCGGGGCGAGCAGTGGCTCCCGCGCACCTAGCGGACCCAGCCCGGTGGTCCTCGGCGGGCCACCCCTCTCCATCCCTCGGCGGTCCCCGCCCTTACCTCTGGGCGCGAGGGTGCCGGCGGGGAGGGTGCTGGGGAGCGGCGAGCTGTCTCCCTGTCCGGCTCAGCGGCGGCCAGCGACAGCGGGGTCGTCGGTGGGGCCGCTGCTCATGGCGTGTGGCTCCCGGAGCACTGCGGCCGCGGCTACCGCGGCGCCTTCCTCCTCGTCCTCTTCGCGGGCTCCGAGCCGGGACGCAGCTACCGCCCCAGCCCCGCAGCCCTCCTCCCCTCCGCCTCCCCGGCCGCGGACAGAGCCGCCTCCAGCGCCGCCCCGCGCGCAGCCGGGCCAGCGGCAGCCAGCGCCGCCCAGCGCCCGGCCCCGGGGTCGCCGCTGCCGCCGCCCGCCCGCCCCGCGGTCCCAGCCCCGCTGTGACGCAGGCCGCGGTGCCCGGGAACTTCCTCCTCTGCGGAGATCACCCCGCGCCCGGACTGGCCGGCGAGGCTGCCGCTGGCCGCCGGAGGCTTTCCCCTGGATGTGGAAAACGAACCCTCCCGCGCTTCCCGGCGGGGCCGCCCGGGCCTCTGAGGCGGCCACCTGGCTGCCTCTGCCTGGGGAACGGGCTGCGCCTAATACCTCCCCCATCCCTAACAGGACGCGGAAAACCTAGCCTTCTCTGCGCTGGGCGGCAGCTCCACTGCCGCAGCTCCTCCCCTGGGTGTTAGAGGGGAGCAGCTACCACTAAAAATAGCCCTTCTGGCAACTCCCCTGCAGGACTGGGGTCAGGATGGAGATCATCCCTCCTCCTCATTTCCCGCTCCTCAGGAGAACAGAAGGACCCCAGAAGAACACAAAAATGAGTCGGGGCGGGGGTGGGGTGGTAAGGCATTGAGGGAGAATGGTTAAAACCAATCTCCCCGGACACCTCCGTCTCCTCTTCAGCAGGAAACCCCATGTTCCCGGACACTGAGAGCTGGGCTCCCTCGTCTCTCAGCAACAGGTTCAGAGACGCTGAAATTGAACGCTCCGCCTACAATTGTGAACTGTGCATAAAGGAGTTGACCGTCCTCATCAAAACCACCTGTTATTAAGAGTATGGGGGGAGGGGCTCTCCCTATTGATTGAGCTGAAGCATGATTTTCTTCTCCACAGTCTCCTACCCAATTTCAGGATGAAAAAGCAAACTATGTTCTTGAAAGCTGACAGCTATTCCGATGGAAAATCTCCTTCCCAGTGAAAAATGTGCAGACAACATTACTAGGTTATATAAAGTCTCCTGGGATGCCTTCTCAATGTTAGTTATTCCAAGAGTACTGAAAATGAACCTACTGCTCTGTCCTGGCAGTCAGGAAAAGGCTGATATTCCTAATCGTCTTTCACTAGTTGACTGGTGCTTACAAGCAAACCTTAACAAAGCAGGCACCTCCTTTAACCCCATTTCTAGTTCCAAGTCAAAATGAAAAGACAATTTGTCTAGAGGTTGTTCTCTTAAGCTTTCAACTGTTATTCTGGTGTTCCCCCCCCCACCCCCGTCCCCGCTCGCTGGGCAAACTACCACACTTTTTTCCAATCCAGTATGTTGTGGAAGTCAACCTTAAATCCTCTGACTCTAACACCACCAGCCTTAACTTCCATAGTTCCTCACAAAAATCTAGGGTGGAGCTTTCCTCCTAGATAGCAGGAGGAAAAATTAGTGGAGAGTTCCTGGGGAAAGGGAGAGGCTGGCTTCAGCAATGTGCTAAAATTGCAAGCACCTTGCAAGCTACCAGATAGTATCTGAGGTAGCTCCCGCTCCTAAGCACCACCCCCCCCCCCCCCCCCGTGGATTTAAACGCTCTAATGAGGCAAATACTAAGGGCACAAACCTCCTGTCAGGGGCTTTGTTATGCAAGCGCTTTCTGAGCATCTCCATCCTTCTGTACCATCCCATCCTGACTTCAAGCTTACACATCCCTGAAATGCTTCCTCATTACCCAGTGGCAAGGAATTATTATACTAGACTTTGGACTCAGGTGAATCAGGAATAAATCCCTACTCTTCCTGTGTAAATGTAAGGGAGTTACTGCTAATTTTATTTTTTCCCCCCATCATCTGCAGTATAAGGATAGTACTCTAGGATGCTGTGTGAATTAGATAACATGCTTAAAGCAGCAAGAACAATGCCAAGCGCTTTGTAAGTACACAATAAATGGTAGCTGTTATGGACTTAATCTACTCTTCATAGACCTGAAAGCAAAAGGATGAGGAATGGCAACAAGGCTTGGAAATGGAATATGAATCCTGAAAATTGAGTCTCCTGCCTCTGTCACATGTTTAATTGCAATACTTTTGTCTGGACATGACCTTTCTTTCTTTCTTTCTTTCTTCCTTTCTTTCTTTTTAAATAGGGTGTATTGGGTAGGGCTACACATAGTCATGAGATTGACATGCACTGTGAAGTCTGAGAGGCACTAATCTGAAAACCACTGTTATACTGCTTAGATCATGTCTTCTTATTTTAGAGCATGTACACCCAAAGTCTAGTCACCTCACCTCAGTCAACCTGACTTAAATCAACATCCACACTTATCAAGCCCTTGGAAAACCATCAGGTGAATCCACAGCCGACTCCTGTGAGTGCTGACCTCTGAGGGTCTCAAAGAAGCACCACAGAGGCCCTGATCTGTGGGAAAGAAGCACCAATACACCAGTGGATAGCAGATAGTACCAAACCTTATAGATGCTGGTTTTTTGCCTGTATATACATACCTATAATAAAGTTTTATTTATAAATTAGACATAGTAAGAAGTCAACAGTAATAAAATAAAACAATTATAACAATATACTTTAATAAAGTTATGTAAATATGGCCTTTCTCTCAAAATATCATATTGTATTGTACTCCCCCTTCTTCCTCCTGTGATGATGTGAGGCGATAAAATACCTACGTGACGAGATAAAGTAATGTGAGGGACATAAGCGTTATGATGTAATGTTAGCCTTCTGACAGTTTGTCAGAGGAAGGATCATCTCCTTCTGGACCACAGTTCACTGGGCATCTGAAACCATGGAAAAAAACCTCAGATAAGGGGGGGGGGAATGCTGTATGAGGCTTATTCCCTGACTTCAGGGTATTCACAGAGCTTGAGAGACAGAATCTGGCAGCCCATGAGTCAGAGCAAAGAGTTTCGAACTAAATGTGATTGCTTTTCAGAGTAAGGAGAGGGCACTATACCTCGGTGAACTATGTATATAGACCCACCATCTTCACCTTTCACTCACCCAATTCTTTAGATCAAAATTTGACATTCTCAATGGGCTTTCAAGAGTGAGTTCCCACATTGAGATACCACCCTACACCAGTTAGAATGGCCAACATTAGCAAGACAGGAAACAACATGTGTTGGAGAGGATGTGGAGAAAGGGGAACCCCCTTACACTCTTGGTGGGAATGTAAGCTGGTGCAGCCACTTTGGAGAACAGTGTAGAGATTCCTTAAGAAATTGAAAATAGAGCTTCCCTATGACCCTGCAATTGTACTACTGGGTATTTACCCCAAAGATACAGATGTAGTGAAAAGAAGGGCCATCTGTACCCCAATGTTTATAGCAGCAATGGCCACGGTCGCCAAACTGTGGAAAGAACCAAGATGCCCTCCAACGGACGAATGGATAAGGAAGATGTGGTCCATATACACTATGGAGTATTATGCCTCCATCAGAAAGGATGAATACGCAACTTTTGTAGCAACATGGATGGGACTGGAAGAGATTATGCTGAGTGAAATAAGTCAAGCAGAGAGAGTCAATTATCATGTGGTTTCACTTATTTGAGGAGCATAAAAAATAACACGGAGGACGTGGGGAGATGGAGAGGAGAAGGGAGTTGAGGGAAATTGGAGGGGGAGATGAACCATGAGAGACTATGGACTCTGAAAAACAACCTGAAAGTTTTGAAGGGGCAGGGGGTGGGAGGTTGGGGGAGCCAGGTGGTGGGTATTATGGAGGGCACGCATTGCATGGAGCACCTGGTGTGGTGCAAAAACAATGAATTCTGTTATGCTGAAAAGAAATAAAAAAAAAAAAAAAGTGAGTTCCCACACCAAGATTCCACACAGCTACAAGTTCACCGTGCACTGGTTGGCAGTAGGGAGCTGAAGTGGATCTTTCTGGGCAGTGTGGGGGCGTGGTAACAGATTTGAGGTAATACGGATCTGGGCTCAAGTCCTCAGTCCACTCTTACTATGTGGCCCTGGCCTTAATTTTTGAACCCCAGTTTCTGCATCTGTCTATTTGAACATCAGTACCTACATTTTTTTAAGGTTCTGGTGAGACTTAGAAAGAGTACGGAAGTGGTAATTATATCGTTTTGCTGTTAGCTATAATAAAATGCAGGCTGGGCTATAGCATTCCATGAAGGCATATTTCAAAAGTTGCTTTCTCTGTGAAGCTTCTATAGGCTCCAGGCGAGTGTAATTCTCCGTTCTTTGTGTTCCCCTAGTACTTACCATGATGTGGTACTATTTATCTCTTTGCATTTTTGTTTCACTACTGTACTTTTTTTTTTTTTTTTCAATCTCTTTGTCAACACCTAGCACAGAGCTTGGAATTAAATGTTGAAAGAATGCGTTTTTTAAATTTTCAGAAATTTTTTACTGGTTCTGACTTTCAGTATACAATAATTTGTATTAAACATCAGGCTCTAGAATGCGAAATCCTCTAGCTCATAGAATTTATACTGACATTATGTATTATGTATATGCATGTGCTTAAACCTTGCTTTTTCAGTGCTGGGCCTGTTCTTGAAGACCAACCTGCTATGCTTGTTTTGTTTTATGTTTGATGTCAGTTGATCCTGCCTAGTAATAGTGAAAGTAAAATCTGAATTCTAAACCAAAACCACCAGCAGGGTTTAACCCAGCATTCTCTACCCACCCTATGCACATCTGTTCCCCAGAGCGGTTCTGAGCTTTTGTGGGAAGGTCCTGAGCTAACAGAAAGCATTGTTGTTTTAAGTTTCAGCTCTTATAGCACTGTTGCAACAATTAGCAGTTTCTGAATTAATGGTTGCCAGTTAAAACCCACCTTTAGCAACAGTTTTGAAATCCTTGACTCTGTGCCATTAAAAATGTG